GATAGCTATAATTAATCGATATATGAAAAAATATATCAAACATAATTTAAATGAAATATCATTCTGCTATACAGTCAAAAACTTAAGTTTGTATAAAATAAAATATGTTTTAATAAATAGACCGACACAGCAGTAAAAATTAATTGATCTTTGAAATATTGTATGTATGTCTTAAACATTTTATTGTTGAACATTGCTGAATAATATAATAATCGATTGTACACTGTATAACTATCGATATATTAATTAATAATCCAGGTACGTTATGGGGCCATGGGTGCAATTCGAGTAGACAGTTTGGGTATACTCGAATTTCCTTCAAAAACACCTGGAGGCGATTCGAGTAAAAAAAGGGCACCTACCTAAATTTGGGAGGCAATTCGAGTGTCATACATTTTATATGCTAGGGGAAATTTTGAATTTTCATATATTAAGACTAATTTTGAAAGTTTTATAGGCATTTGATATTTTCTAGTTGTCTAATTTGTTTAGTTTTTATTTTTATTGGACAAAGGCTCTATATAATATTATTGATTATAAATATTATTATGATAATACTGATAAGCTAATTATTTTGAAGTATAATTGGTATTTTCAGAAACGACATAATAATAATATAAGAGTCTTAAAATCACCATGTATTACTGTTGTAATTTTTAAATTAGTTATTTCAATGTTGAAAAAATTATTTTAAAATGGTATAAGGATATTAAGATTATCAAAATCAAATATAATAATAATTTAAAATGAATTTAAAACAAATCAATAGTAGTTAGAATTATTTATTAGCATTATGTTTTAGTGGAGTATATTATTCAATGTATTATACTAATACCTATGCACATATTATTATATACCTACTAAAGGTTTATATCCATTACACTTTTACTGCCACTCAAAAAATATTTTATTCTTTATGTGAAATTTGATGATACATACAAACACAATAAATAATTTAAACATTGTAATACATACATAGGTATTCAGGTATCTACTTCAACGGTTCATTGAAAAATTACTAGGAAATATTTGCATATGAAATAAGTTAACAAAATTGTAATTACATAATCATAGTTTGTACTTTGTAGTAAAAAACTGCCAAACAATTCTCATCGTGCATTTTTCAAAACATCATTAATATTTGATTCTGGCTATTCGCCTGCTCTATTTACCAATAATAGAAGGCACCGTTACGATTAGATTTATGCAATAATGGTAGCTACTAAGCTGGTATTAATCACAATATTTAAAAAGGTTAACTATCTATATTTTACATTTTTACTAGGAGATTAGAGTAGGATATTATTGTATACAAAATTAAGAACAATTATTATTAAAAAAGGGGGGCAAGTGGGTGTCGCTCTGCTGTACAGTAGGTTACAAGTGGGTCACTGTATAATGGATGGTATTAAATTTGAATTCAATGATATAATATCATTGTATAAGAAAAACGATTCTGAGCGGTGGCGGTATGTCAGTCTATGTATAAGACATATTATATACATATCTATGGTATTAAACAAAAAATTGACCTATAATAGGTACCTATAATAAATTCCAAACTAATCATATCACAATATCCTTTAGATACATATAACGCGTTATACATCAACAAAAACCGTGATACTATCATAGATATATAATAGTACACTTTAGAAGTTTCAAGTACCCACGAATAATATTATTCAATCACAACAAAATAACTAAAATCGTAAATCTTGGTTTAAATATGAAATTTTGTCTAAATTTGAAATTAAAATGTCTGTAAAAAATAAGTGTGTTTATATATTTTTTAGATTTTTTGGTTACAGTATGAATTATTTAAGAGAATCTTTGTTTTAAATTTTCAACTCTTAGTTATAAAAACTGAACATTTTATAATTTTTTAATTCCAACGATTGATAATTTTCGAGATTTTGATAAATTTTGTCAAAATTCCAACTTTAAATGCTTATAAAAAAAAATCGTGCCTATGTATTTTTAATATTTTTCAACTGATATTGTAACAATATATCAGGAGCCTTGTATTAAATTTTTACACTTTTTGGCCCAACAGATAAAACTTTATTGATATTTATAGAAAAAAAAACTAAAAAAATTGAAAACTGTAAATGTCCATAAACAGCTCAAAAAGAGTCAAAATATTTTCAAAATTGTATGGTGTATAGAAAATGCTAATTTAAACATTCAGTGAAATTTTCATGTATCTACAGGTGTTCGTTTTTGAATTGCAACAAAATAAAGAAATCGCTACATGAGTAATCGAGTGAATATCCAATGTTGTAAAAATTTGAATTTCAAACGCTCATAAAAATTTAACTTAACTGTCCGGTAGAGATTTTTTTATTGATAAAGGTAGATAATCTTATAAGGAATCTTGTGTTTCATTTTCAAATCTTAGATTTAAAAAGAAAAATTTTTACGAATTCTTAACTCAAAATAATTTGCTAATTTTCGTGATTTTTCCATATTTTGTCAATTTTTGAACTTTAAATGCTTATAAAAAAAATTGTGACTAAGGATTTTTAATATTTTTCATCTGCCTTTGAAACAACATATTAGGAGCCTTCTATTAAATTTTCAAGCTTTCGCAACCAACAAATAAAATTTTATTGATATTTTTAGAAAAAAAACTAAAAAAAAATGGATAATGAAAATGTCCCTAAACAGTTCAAAATAAATCAAAATATTTTGAAAATGTTATCGTGTATAGAAAATGCAATTATAAACAACCAGTGAAAATTTCATGTATATACGTTCATTTGTTTTAGAGTTACACCAATAACCAAAATCGATTTTTTGGAAAACCGATTTTGCGTAAAAATTCCCGTTTTTCCTTAATTTTTATGTTGTTTTTCCCGGCGCTTGTGAAAACTACTGGGAAATTTATACTTTTGACCCCCCAAAGTACCAACTAGATTCACTTTCCTATCAGAAAAGCTACTGATGAAGAAAATCCAAGCACTTTTACTGTCCTAAAACGTGATGACAGACACAAAAATAAAAAATAAATAAAAAATAAAATAAAAAATAAAAAAAAAAAAAAAACACACATCATTGTAAAATCAATACATTCATCGTTTCACTCAGAATCTAAAAATAGTTGTCCCAGGGTATCTTCTATTTGGTATATAGTAGGTAGGTAGGTACCTATATACGATAAAGTATGTAAAGAATATTTAATCTATATACATTTTATATTCCTTAAAATATATTTTGTAACGCAAAATTTTAAATGAAACATTTTTTCACTCAGAATATTACTTTTTATAGCAATATTTTATTTATTAAGTTGCCTTAAAGAAATTTCAGGAAGTACCTATTTAAATATTTTTTAAACGGTATGAAAATATTTGTTTTTATTTTTTAATACAAGTGGGATAAAAACCTTTATTGAATACACATTAAAAAACTTTGTTTTTATAATATAAATACTTAAATAAAAATAAATATTATATTCTAAAACTATTCTGGGTGATTGTACTAAATTGTTGAAGTTGTAAATATTAAACTCGTAATAAGATAACTGTCTCCATTAAACAATATTGTTAAGTGGAAAAGTGTAATCCATGTAGAGTGTGGTGAGATTCTAAAATATCATTCGAATAACGTTGAACGATTTGTTAGCGTTGGTATTTATATTTTATGATTAAATTTTAAATAACATAAAACAATATTACTTAGAACCCTTATAATAACCGAGTATTTATTATTCTGGAGTAGTGGAGTAGCTTGTTTGAAAACCTGGTCTTGCATGAACGTGTAGTATGAATTTCTTAATTGTATTCCAATACTTATCTACTGGGTTTTAAAAAAACAAATAAAAAAGTTACACATACATTTAAAACAACGATTTATAATAACCTGTCGATCAGTAGAACTAGGTATAGAATGATTAAATTATTACAAATCGAATTCAAACGAATGATTGTTTGGCAGCTAGCACGATTTTAGTCCCTGACAAATCATTTGACACACCTAACGACCTTGTGGAAAAAATCTAATAATTAATTGCCAGAATTATTTCGGCGTAAAAATTATGACGAAATATCCGTGGTTTAAGGGCAATATTTTTATTATTTTTTTTTCGTGTAACCTTATATTATGATAACAAATAAAATAATACAAAGGGAAATATGTATACTTTATATTATGTTGTATGTTTTCTTTAAATAATTTTAATTGATCTTAATGTGAACAAATATTTGAATTTACCATTTAGTGTAGGTAGGTGAAAAAATTGATGAAAAAAAATAATGCAATTACATTAAAGTTAGTTAACATTTGATTGAATATAAATATAATATTGTACCTATGTTTTAGTCATTATAATATTCTGTATTAATATTTAATGGGTAATATTTGAACTATATAATACTATATTGTTTATAAATATTATATAGGGTTAATATTAATTAAGAAACATTGTATAAATACTTCAAAATTCACAACGATTATAAAAACAACTTTGAAATTAAAAGTTGACAAACAATTTTTAACTATATAATATATTATAATATATAGGTATATTATGTATATTGTATATATATTATTATACTATATCTCCCTATTTATTTAATTAATTTCATATTAAATAAGCCAAAATCGCAACTAAATTATAATATGAATAAATACTAAAATATGAAATTAGTAGATATCAATTATTTTTAAAGTATAAAACTATAAAATAATACAATATTATACATATGATTATTTTTACATAAAAATAATCTTATTATTAAGAAACAATTTTTCACATTAAATGTTTTTTTTTTTAATTTTTACTTTTGATTTTACACAATAATGATATCAATGTAAAAGTAACGCAATAATAGCGGCCCAAAGCGACTTGGCATTACGCCGGGTGGCCAAAAGCCCAACGATATAAGCTTAGCTGCGTCGCCCTCAGAGTCAGTCGTGTCAGTACCTTCTCCGTTGCGTGTGAGTCAGTTTCCGTCAAATTTATTTACCTAACAGTTTAACACTAACATTAAAAAGCAATGGCTTTGAACAAGAAAGAAACCAATATGATGCCTGCCTTAGCTGACCCGATGTCTTTCGCAAAGGATTTCTTAGCCGGTGGTGTTTCTGCTGCCGTGTCTAAGACAGCCGTCGCTCCCATTGAACGTGTCAAATTGTTGTTACAAGTACAACATATTTCCAAGCAAATTGCACCAGAAGATAGATATAAAGGTATTTTGGGTTTTACAATAAAAGTTTCAGTTGACTTTCTATAATTCACTTTGGTGGCTAATGTTTTTACGGATAATGTATAAAATATAAGCCTATACTTCTAAATTATGTCAACACTAATACAATTATCAATTGTTAGGCATGGTGGACTGTTTTGTACGTATCCCCAAGGAACAGGGAGTTACAGCTTATTGGAGAGGAAACATGGCCAACGTGATTAGGTACTTCCCGACTCAAGCTTTGAACTTTGCATTCAAAGACAAATACAAGCAAGTCTTTTTGGGTGGTGTAGACAAAAACACACAATTCTGGAGATATTTTGCCGGTAATTTAGCATCAGGTGGTGCAGCTGGTGCCACATCCTTATGCTTTGTATACCCATTGGATTTCGCTAGGACCAGGTATAAATTCAGAAATAATAATGCAATTTCTTAGTGATTACTACAACAAGTTTTTAAAAATATTCTTTTACAATTTATATCTTAAATATTTAAATAGGTTAGCCGCTGATGTCGGTAAAGCCGGAGCTGGTCGGGAATTCAACGGTCTTGGAGACTGTTTGTCCAAGGTCTTCAAATCCGACGGAATCACTGGATTGTACAAAGGTTTTGGTGTATCCGTTCAAGGAATCATCATTTACAGAGCATCATACTTCGGTTGCTTCGACACCGCTAAGGGAATGTTGCCAGACCCAAAATCTGCTGGATTCCTTTTATCGTGGGCTATTGCTCAGGTGAGTTAAATAATTTACTTATTATCATATTGGCGTAGCTAATACGGTTTAAATTATTCTTAAATATATTACATATAAATTAAATCATTGGTGGAAAATATAAAGTATTCAAAAATCATAAACTTTCTATAATTTCATATAAATTAACAAATTAAAAATGCATACTTTTTAACATCCTGATATAAGTTTATGTTTGATCGATTTTCTAAACACGACAGATTTAATATGTTAAAAATATATTTTAACAACTTATAATTATTGATTTACATCTATTCATTTTTATAGGTTGTAACAACTGTTGCTGGAATTATGTCCTATCCCTTCGACACAGTCAGGAGGCGTATGATGATGCAAAGTGGTCGTGCTAAGTCTGAAATCGTTTACAAGAGCACTCTCCACTGTTGGTCAGTAATTGCAAAGACAGAAGGAACTGGTGCTTTCTTCAAGGGAGCTTTTTCAAACGTTTTGAGAGGAACTGGTGGTGCCTTAGTATTGGTGTTGTATGATGAAATCAAAACCCTCCTCTAAAACAAAAAAAATTCCAATTTAGTAACCAATTGATGGGTTAGTATGTAAGAAAATTAAACAGCCTATTCCACCCAATTCGCACATACATCTATAGCAGATTGGAGAATTAAGAGGATATTATATTTGTATCATAAAAATCAGACTTCATTATTGTTATCGTGTAAATAAATGGAAAATTGTTACCTAATACCTAGTTATAATTTTTATTTCTTTATTAATTTGACATTGGCTTGCCTATACAATTTTCTCACAAAAAAATTTTGTTTGAAGGATATGATAGTTTTTTTTAGTTTTTCTATTTTTAAAAGTTCTGTAGTCTGGCGGATGCTCAGCCGTACTTACACATTGTAACAAGCCAGGAGAGCATTATCAATGTCATTCTATATTTAGCGACCCAGTTACGTTGTTGCCAAAATAGAATTTCAGTACCAGACGTAGCAGAGGTTAATATTCGAATCTTGCATATTATACTATAGTTTACATGGCCACATGTAGGTACCAACTAATACAAATATATATATATATAGTGGAAATCAGGAATAAATGAACTCGTGTCTCGTAGTATTGAAATTTTAAAATAATATAAATTAAATAATTTTTAAACATTACCTGAAACGTTCATTGATTAATGAACGTTTCTATTAATTAGTTATTTATGTTGATTTTTTAGCAATACCTGTGTTAGTTTTAAGAAGAGATTATTTAAAAAAATTATAAATATTGCCGATAAAGTCTACTATATTTTTATGCAAAATAATAATATAAATTATAGGACATAGGTACATACAACAATCATAACAACTTGGTTGCATAATTATTATAAGTAAAGGAATTAATGTAGTAAATATAACATCATAAAATATAATAAATGTCTAGTGTACCCAATTTATTGTAGACTGTAGTTATAAATGTATAATGCACCCAAGCGATCTCTCATTGAACGATACGTATTTGCAGGACAGGACGTGTAATTTAAATAAATAAAATCATCACAATTTTTATTGTTAAACATAGTATAATGATTAATTATAAAAATGAATTAGTAGCACATTAAAATAAAATAAAGACTGTTAAATGAGAAAAAAATAATAAAAAATTTTATCAGGGAAATAGTAACCTACTAACCTAATAGTAGCTAGGAATTCACCCAAAAGTGAGGGGCAACATATAATCGAATCGAAGACAATGACTCAAATTAATTCCTAAAATTTGGATTTTAAGATGGTCGCCTAGATATGATTTTTTGGACTTGATTATCAGTATTTGAATGTAGTCAACCGGTGGCGATTTGATATATATTTTATTGTTTTATTGATTATATAAAATAGAGGTCGTACACTCACACTTGACTTATATACAAAAGTCTAATAATTACAAATTATACCATTAAATGTATCTAACGTATCATTCTTATAAAGTTGTATATTATACATTTATATATATTTCACATATTTTTTGGTTTCTACAGTCTACAATGAGAACACATACAGAACTACGATGAAGGCCCGAGACTTACAATATACTTTACAACACTTAAATTAAATTATTGATTTTACTTGAGTATAATAATATAAGTTGGTAGATTTTAAATGTTTTGCAGCAACTTTAATAACGGTACGTTGGCTTACAAAATGTTAAGGAATAAGGATAATATAATACACACATAATAATAATACCAGCTATACTAGATTTAATAATGTGATAGCTCTGGTCAACTTTTCATAGAACATGAACATTTCAAGTTTTCCGATTTTACAATAGGTTGTTATGAATATCAAGAGATACCTATAATTAAGAGGACGTCACATCCGCATGTGATTACGCAGTCTGAGTATAAATCACTCAATTTTGGTTCTAGAGTAAAAATACCCATTATATAAAATTGAATTGTGACAATATTTCTAAGTAGTTGCGTTTTTTCCATTCCACCCGTTTACTTAAGTTTTTTTTAACGTACCTACATTATATCGTTTAGAAATAGCAAACATTTTAACATTTACACAATACCTTTAACTTTTCAAATTTTTTTTTTTTTTTTTAACTCAGTCTTGTCCTCTAAAATATTGCCATCTTTTAATTTTATAAGAGGTGTTTTTAATTTTTATTCTGTAACACCAAAATTGAGCAAGTTCTACTCGGACTGCTTAAACGCGGTTTTGTCTAGGTCCTACTCGAGCGAACTCAACGTGGCGAAACACAAGCTGTTTTGATTTTGGCCCCGTTGAGTACGCTCACAAGGACTGTGTGTAAGACAGAGAACGGGTGTGACGTCCTCTTTAAGCAATATTTACCTAGGTACTTAAAATGTATTTGACCCAAATAGTAATCAAATTCTGTGGATTATAATATCTGTAATTTTAACCTTGATACCATTTATAAAATACTTATCTCATAAAATATTTATCAGATTAAAACAAACCGATACAATAACATAAATAGAGGAAATATAATATTTATTATTTTCTGTAAATCACTACATTAAATATATATAAACATTATACATATATTATAATATAGGTGTATATAATATTATGTGTGTATTATATAATATAATACGATAACATATGCATTTAAAACTTCCATGGATAGTATAATATATAAGTAATTACGTAGGAAATATTATATTGTATAATATATATTTAATATTTATGCCTACAGTATTATACATAGTGACTAATGACTACATACAGTTTTATTAATTACATGACGTTTTAATATAGGTACCTATGCATATTTATTTTTAAACGATTACAGTTTAACTTCATTAGTTATACCTATAGATCATACGTAAGTCCAATATCCACTGAATTAATAATATATTATAGAATATTAGTTTTATTAAAATAGTAATAAAAACCAAATATTGGCTTTTATTGATGGCACGTTATTTAATTCGGTACCTATACAGACTCTAATCGATGTTCATATTATTTTAATTGACGATTTAATAATCTAATTTGTTAGCAATAACAATAATAATTCAGTTATAATAATATTATATATATATAATATATATATAGCTATTTCTAATAATTTATGATTTAATATTTTTAATAGGTACTGGATTTGCTTATTATATGTTTAGGTACAGCCGAGTACTTAATTAGGAATAAACTGTACAATAATTGACATGCAAAATTTTTTTTAATAAATCAAGTTCGTACGTATACTTATAACAGATTTAAATTAAATATTCAACTCTTAGAGAGTTCATAAATAATAATTTAAAAAAGAAAGAAAAGAAGACTATAGCATGAAGGTGCTACGTTTCTGGTGCTTATTTCATGCCTAAATTGGGTATTCCTGTAGAGGCCGGAATGCGCATTAATAATGTGTATGATGTAGCAGTCGTGTACAATAGCGAAATCCCAAAAATTATCAGTAATATTCTTAAACAAAAATGTCGTAAATATATGTAGATTATGAGCAAGTGCTATAAGTAAAACCACTGTACCTATATGAATTACGATATAGGTACGTCAATCTTTCCAAGAAAATTGTGGAATAATTTAGGTATGCTGTATGCAATTATACCTACCAAAATAACTTAGCCCTTAGGTAGGTACTATATTTTTAATATAGTATATTCTCGATGGCATAGTGTACACATGTTGTAAGTGACATTTTTGTAATTGTTCAGGAGAACGACAATTGTTATTTCACATCACGCAGATTACATGCACTACAACAAACGCGCAGACCTCTAGCAGACTAAATAATATGTACTATACACTTACAACATTTGTACACAATAGGTATGTAGAAAGTTGTCAGCAATACAGCCAGTGGCGTAGCCAGGGGGGGTTTTGGGTGTTTAAACACCCCCCATTGACATTTCCCCCCTAATAAATATATTGTTTATAGGGTTCGGGACTGCTTGCATGTTTCATTGTAGTGGTAGTAGGTTATTTTAGATAAGTTATAAATTTGTCTTATCAAACGAAGTTTGAATTTGCAGATCTTTGCATATTGTAGGAAAATTGTACATTTGAGCGATTTTTCGCATATTTGTGCATATTTTAAATTTTTTTATCTTAAATGTAGGTACATACAATTGTTGGGAAAAATCATATTTGGATAACATTGAAAAATATCTTTAAAAATATTATTTTTGGTTAGGTACAATATAAGCGATAATTTTGAGATTTGGGGAAGCCGAATCCTAAAACCATACTATTATAAAATTTAGTAAATGTTTGGGAGGCTTGTTAAAGTTGTTGGTGGAGCTTGGCTACGGTTGGCTCTATTTTCGCATATGGCACGTAAGACTCTATAAGTCTTTTGTGACAAGACTGTGTTAAAACTATAATTGACATCTAGATTCTAGATTGTACGAATAAATGAAAATCAGTAGATATGTGTTCGTTTATCACGGTGTTCGCATATCACGTTATTCATTATTAGGTACTTATTTATTACCTAGTATTTTATACCAGCATTTTTAAAAATCAAATTTTATTTCACAATAGTTTAAAAATATCCAATACATGCAATAGTGTCCTCCGTCCATCGTATTAATCATTAATCAATATAGGTACCTACCTATATTAAAATTTGTATACCCGTCTTTAAATTATTTTTATCGTGTTTATGTAGGTACCTACTTATTTTTTATTTTTTTATTACAAAAATTGTAATATGTTTTATGAATTTTTCAAAAATAATATAAAAATGTAGCTGCATATATTTAAGCATATTTTGAAAATTTTGACTGCATATTTCGATAGTTTTTAGTGCAACAAGTCAAGTCCCGAATCCTAAATTTATTTATATACGTAAACTGTAAAAACTTGGTTTTAATCTATACTTAAACACCCCCCATTTCATAATTCTGGCTACGCCACTGAATACAGCCATGCAAAAAACTCATTTATCTAAATTTTGCACTTACAACATGTGTGCACTATGCCATCGTTCTATTGTTTTAATATATTTTATTATATCTCACTTTTGTTATCACAAGAATGTTAATTTTATTACTTTGTTTATATTGTTTCCGTATGGCGTTTATTCTAATAAAAATAAATAAAATAAAAATGAAGGTCCCCCGTAGAACCAGATTTTAGTGAACTCTAACTGTAGTACAGACTATATTCCACTATTGGTAAATGTTTCAAAAATAACACACAAGGAGTGCAAAAAAGAGTTCACTCAATTTCCCAGCTATTCTGAGAACTTCAATTTTTAAACCTAATCAATAACGGGTACAACGCCACATGAGCATCTATAGCTGAACCATCGCAAGTAGAAGTTATTACATACCTACTACCTTGTACCTACCTATTAATTTTGTCCAATTATAGGTACTACCATAATAATAACTCTACCATCCTCTCCATACCTCTGCATCGTTCAATTTTGTTCGGCGTAATAATGACGTCACGTTGACAAATACATTAGGTGTGTACTTATAATAGGTATAGCCATGTTACTCATAAATCTTAGTAATATATAAATATACATAATAATATGATACATCGTTAACTATTGTGTAACGATGATTTGAGTAAATAATATTCAAAACTATTTTACTATATTAGAAAACGTCTGCACGGACAATCATGGTAATTATTTCTGAACTTCGGTTCTAAAAAAGTAAAAAAAAAAATATTAGTAGACCACTACAACACTGCTATTATAATACCCTCTCCACATGCCAATCATAATGATCATAATAATAATAATACAACCGACGCAAACGCAAGCGTAGTTTATATTGAATAAATAAAGCAACAAATGTACTATACCTACAGTTTACGCGTTGAATTGCTACGATCACGATCGCCGTCACTCGAGTGTCTCACAGACGTGTTCGACAACAATAAAAATATTGATACTGTTCGACGACGGCACGCCTATCAATCCGCACGGTACCGTTTCAGTAGTTACAGTTAGGTAAATGAAAGGTTACACGCGAGATCTGTAAAGATAATCTTTATATATCTTGCACTGTGCATGCGGACCGGCTGTCATCGCTTTAACAATTCCGTCTGCTAGCTGTGCGGTTGGATTCGCCATGTCGGGAGTGTGGTCGATTCCGTTCGTCCAACTCTGCGCCGCCGCAGTTCTACTAGTCACGTTCCTGGGTTACATGTACTTGACGTACCACTATGGAAAGTGGACCGGGCTCGGTGTACCGCACGCCGCGCCGTCGCCGCCGTTCGGCAGCCTGCGTGACGTGGTCATGGGCCGCGTACCGCTCGTCGACGCCATCCATTCCCTGTACCAACGATTCGACGGGCAACGGTATTTCGGCATCTACGAGGGACGCCAACCGTTGCTGGTGGTCTGCGACCCCCAGCTGGTACACACTGTCATGGTAAAGGACTTCCGGTCGTTCGTCGACCGGAACGCGAGCAAGGTGTCGTTCATGCACGACAAGCTGTTCGATCACTTGGTGAACCTGCGGGGCGAACAGTGGAAAGCAATTAGAGCCAAGTTGAGTCCGACTTTCTCGGCCGCAAAGCTCAAGTCCATGTTGGGTGACATAAATGTGTGCACGGCGCGTCTGATCGACAACTTGAATGGGCAGATAACGAAAAACAGTGGTAATGATAATATTATAGACTAGGTACCTAAATGTAGCTATGTTATGTATATAATATAATATATGTTTATATACACATTTATATACACCTGCAGGTAGCAGTGGCGGATCCAGGGCTGATTTTTTTTTGGGGGGGGGGGGCATAGGGCAAAAGTACAAAATTGGTTAAACACAGTGTAAAACAGAGGTAAACTAGGGTGATTGGGGGGAACGCCCCCTTTGAGCTCCTGGATCCACCACTGGCAAGTAGGGTATCTGCGATATATATAATTTGCTATATACTCGAGTCAAAATGTGTAATTTTTCTACAAAATTCGTTCATTGTTAGTTCACATAATATCCTATACTATACAGTATAGGTACAGAAACAATAAAAAAAATACAAATTCCATAGGCGTGCGATGACCGAAAACGAGTGTAGGCCGTGAGATATAGCCATAGGTAAATAGGTAATAGGTTATATAGTTTATATAGCCTATATGCAATAGGACTATGTGTAAGCACCCGTTTTCTTAAAATGTAAATAGACGATAATATATTTTATACATTACAAAATATTCAAATATTTTAATATTAAAATATATTTATTGTTATGATGTGACTAAAAGACTAAATGCATAAATTACCTTCCTAGACAGTAGCGTATCCAGAATTTTTTTTTCGGGAGTTGCTATAATTTATTTTTGTCGAATTTTATCTGAAAATGATTTATTAATGATATAAGTATATAACGTTGTTTTAATTTAACAATTTTCAATATTTATTAATTATAAATAAAGACAAGAATAAAAATGTTTTACAGGAATTGTTGATGTCAGCGAAGCGTCGGCTCAATTTACAACTGATACTATTGGCAGTTGTGCTTTTGGACTAGACTGCAATGCACTGTCAAATCCAGATTCAGAATTTCGTCGTACAGGACGAGCCATTTTTGAGCCAAGTCTTCGATCGAATTTACTAAGTATCATCAGATTACTTGGTTTTGGTCGGCTTTTAGATGTATTTAGGGTACGTGGTATGTCTGCAAACATATTTGACTTTTTTGATAATCTACTCGATACTACAATGGAACAACACAAATCTGGAGAAAATACACGTAACGATTTTATAGCACTTTTAGTAAAGTTAAAAGATGAAGAAAAACAGAAGGAAGAAGGACAAAGTAAGACATTTATATTTTAATATTTGATATTAATTAATAGTTATAGGTAACTTATAATTTATAAATCTTTATTAAGTATTGTTTATTTTTAATTGGTAAAATATATTACTTATTAGGGAAATTAATTTATTGAATTTCAATAATTTATTAAAATACATAAAGATTCAATTATTAGCCGTGGATCACTAATTCAATAACTATAGAGTAAATAAATAGATGAACATTGAACATAATGAACATATTATAATATATTATATTGCACTTGAATTCAGTAATTTTAATGTAGGTACCTACCTAAATACACAGTTATTAATGTTTGTTAATTATCTTAATAAGCACATGAATATAATCAATATTAATTTATATACCTATTTCTAATAAGGATCTTTTTATAGCTTGAATAAATAGGATACTCTAATATAAATCATTATAGCTGTAAGTTAATAAGTTAGGTAAAAATTATAACTATATTAGCATTAGCTATCTTTTTAATATATGATCACCATTAAAATTAAGAAAATAATTTGATTAGTTTCAAATACATTTGGACATCTACTACAAAATGTATTGTATTAATTCTAATAAAATCTCTTTGAGAAAATATATGATGCTGTGATTATTATGATTTAATTTTGTATTACTTTTCAGAACTATTTACTGATGACATATTAGCAGCTAATTCATTCGTATTCTTTGTTGCTGGTTTCGAAACTACAGCATCAACAATAAGTTATTGCTTGTACGAGTTGGCCATGAATCCAGAAATTCAAGTAAAATTGCGAGAAAATATCAAGAAAACATTAGACTCAAACGACGGAAAGCTCGCATACGATACGTTAAAAGACATGAAATATTTGGATATGGTGATAAATGGTTAGTGCCTATAATGTGTTATGTTATGAATCTATACGCAGAAAATTTTAATGAAAATAGATAAAATATATTTATAGATTTATGACTAACTTTTTTTTTATCAACAAACTTTTAGAGACATTCAGACTGCACCCACCAGTTCCCGTTTTAAATCGAGTATGCACTCAGAAGTACACAATTGAGGACAGTAACATTACACTAAATGTTGGAGATAAATTAATAATACCTACATATTCATTACATCACGATTCTAAGTATTATTCAGACCCAGAAATATTTGATCCTGAACGATTTACCGAAGAAAATATAAGTTCAAGACCACACGGCACTTTCCTCCCGTTTGGCGATGGACCTAGGATATGTATCGGTATGTAACCTATACCTATCAAGCCCGATTTAAGGGGGTCGAGGGGGGCAAGGGAGGGCCCACAACGGATATCAATCAATAATCAATAATAATGAGCCCCCGTCGGGTAATACGTTTTCTATAAAATATGGATAATATTATGTTGTTATTATTATTATTATTATTATTATGCCATCATAATATTTTCTATTTTGAGCAGAATGATAAGGAGATAGGATTAATGCGAATACCGTCGATTACGAATTAAACCATTATTACTAGGTAGCTATTATAGATAGTATAGCTAAAACTGTTTTTTTATAATAAAAACATAATAAAGTTATTTCTCATTAGCCAAACAAATTTTATTTACGTTGTTTTTGTACGAAAGGTGAACAGTCGATAGTTGAAGTCATATTATACTCACACGTACAACTTGATAGTTAGCACTGTCTATATCTGGGCATCGCGATAAAGTTATAATAGTGGAAAACGTTTACGTTTTTGTTACCTAGGTAGTGTTTTGCCTTATAAATATAAGTATTGAAGTAGGTATATCATTAATATTTGTAACATAAACATTTTTTTTTATCTCTTAAATATATTTATTTGTGGGTCAGTGATACCGGGCTTGATACCAATACTACATTTCAATTAATTGTACAGTCATGAGAATGTATTTTGGTGTCAATACATTTTAATTTTTAAAATTTAATGTATGTTTATAAACGTAGGTTTACGATTTGCGATGATGGAAGCAAAAACAGGACTAGCGGAAATATTGACGAAATTTGAAGTATCGCCATGTAAAGAAACACAGACTCCGATTAAAATCAAGCCAAGATCAATTTTACTCACACCAAACGAATCGATTCGTTTATCATTCAAAAGTATTGATCAATAATATAAAAGTTAAAATGGTATTCAAAGATGACAATTGAGAGTTAACTCAAAATTCAAAAGTATTAATAAATTATTATGTTATCACGGCACCTGCAATGTGTTATTTTTTCGCTTAGGACTGTCATCACTTCAGTTCTCAAGGTGATCACTCAAAGTATGCAAAATATACAATATCATCACACCAATGCGCATTAATTCGAGATTTAGAGGCGTATTAACACCTTTTAAAGCGTATTAGAAAAATGCACATTCATTATTTAAATCGGCTGATGAAATCGAACTAACTCTCAATTCCTGTATTAAAAATAAATATGAACAGGTTACAATTAATATTTATGGAGAGAAAATCAATGTAACATTTACTAAACTTTGTCCAGCGAATAAACACTCCAATTTATTCTAAGCATTCCCCAAGTGACAAGCTGGCATCAAAGCTGAATCCCTATAGGTGCAATCTCCTATGACAAGGTATTGCTTGGAGATACGCTGCGGTGAGTGCTGCGGAAGAACCGAATTTCGTCAAGCCGTGGCGTGTTCACTCGCTGGACAGAGCTTATAGTAAATTAATATTACCGTGATAACTATATTGATCATGGAAGACAATAGATCACACTATCACAGAATAAAACAATATTGGAATTAACATTCGTTTTAAATTAAGTAGGTAGATAATTAAGTAGGCGTATTGTTAATCCTGCTATTTTAGATGCGTGTAAGCCAGCATTTTGATGTGCATTGATTATCGCAGAATAAAAATGGTTGTCCAAGTATGAGAACTCGCAATAATATACTAACAATTATTATACAAGCATCGCGTCCAAGGCGGACTGCTTCTGCCATCCCGTTATTAAATTTAATAGGTAAGTACCTATTCTGCGGGTACTTATGTAGGATGTAGGTACCAGTGGCGTATTTATACGGGGGGTCCATGGGGTGTAGGCCACCATTGGCCCCATAAATACCTATCTAAACATCTAATATAATATATATAAATATATTCTGTAGCGGAGCCTCCGAGTTAAATGTGTTTTGAAAATTAGCTGGACCCCCTCCATGAAAAATTCTAAAATACACCACTGGTATAGCCGTATAGGTACTGTTTCCATAATTATATTATATGTGTACGAGGCCGAAACAACGATTACTGCACCGCAAAACAATATTATTTTATCATTATGATTATGGATGTTGCCCCGAGATGGTGGGGAATCCCACTATAGACTAAAAAGTAATGACGGTATATTATAATAATAATATTAACTGCGTCGTAATTTACGTCAGCACATGCAGTAGTAACTATGAGTAGTATACCGAGAGTAACTGTAGTAGGGCCGACGCCGTCATCGGCGGCAGTGAACGCACTTATTAAGCTCGAAAATCAGTATCACCTATAGCAATCGTCACGCTGGTCCGATTTGTATACCTGCTCATGTGCATGCACTAACGTCTAACCGTATGTGAATCGTTTGCGATGATCTGCTTCAGCTGTTGGCTGGAGATCGTGCCGATCGCCGCTATTGCGTCAGCACTACTGACGTACGTGTACTGCACGCGCTACTACGGGCACTGGACGGCGCTGGGCGTGCCGCACACCAAGCCCGCACCGTTGCTGGGCCACTTCGCCGGGCCCACGATGGGCCGCGAGTCGGGCACTATCACCGTGGACAAGCTCTACCGGCGGTTCACCGGCCACCGGTACTTCGGGGTGTACCAGCTCCGGCACCCAATGCTGGTGTTGCGCGACCCAGTGCTGGTACACGCGGTGCTGGCCACAGAGTTCAGTTCGTTCCACGACCGGATGATGAGCCGGACGTCGTTTGAACACGACGGGCTATTCAACAGCCTAGTGAACCTAAGAGGCGACAAGTGGAAAGCCGTCCGGGCCAAGTTGAGTCCCACGTTCACCGTGGCTAAGCTCAAAGCCATGTTCGCCAGTTTACACGTGTGCACCGGCCAACTCGCAGACAAACTTCTGCTCCTGACTTCCGGTGGCCAAGGTATTCAATTTCATAATATAAACCTGTATAAGATTATACTGCCCAACGTCAATATTTTAGGCTTTTAGCCAATTTTGATTGTTGATAGTGCCTACAAGTAGGTATTATAGGTACTGACAATAATAGTTATACAAAGTCTGAAAGTCGCCAATATAGCTATTTAAATATTATGTAAAATGAGTATAGATTATTATTATTATATAAAGATAGTAGATACAGACACATGAACACTCCAAAGTGTCTTTTACACACACCAAATGAAAATTACTCCCCGTATTTCTAAATTTGTGATATACGGTTAAAATTAATGTATCAAAATCTATACTAAAAACAATAATAATAAACAAACAATTTTTTATCCGATTGTATACACTTGTACGTAGATTCATATATCATATCTATACCTACTAATAATTATTATACAACATATTACCCAAATTATGATAATTGTTGTCAGTTAAAAGACAAGTATAGCTGAGTAATAAATAATAATATAATATTGTCTACTAAATACTCACCTACTACAAGCATAGTATTCTAAACAAATATCATATAATATGTATATTAATTAATCTATGCTATATAGGTGACAGAAACTTAGAGCAATTCTATATGAAATATTATGAATATAAGACTATAATAGCTAATATACGTGATTATGTCTTATTGACGTTATATAAGTTTGGTCTTTGTATCAATGTATCCTATACTCAGGAAATATAACTATAGTTAAAATATCATCTGATACAAGTATTGGTTAGTATAAACAATTTAGGTAGCCAAGAAGCCAAGAAAGTACTTCCAACTATCACGTAATTTAATTTTGATAAAACATATCAAATGAGTTACGGCTCCATCATTAGGTACTGACGAAGCAATATATGACATAACACGGGTATGATTACACTTAATATATAAATGTATCAGTTTATCACATATTAGAATATTAGATACATGATTGGTGTATCTACCTACTTTAAACATTGAGCGGATAACATAATATCATTAATATCATTGATTATAAATACTACATCACGTTGAATAATAAGTGAAAGCTGTTTAAAATCTCTCTTGTCGAGTGCATACGGCATACCTATACAGTAAAGTTTAGGTATAGACTATAGAGTATAGGTTATAGCCTGTAGGTAACCTATTATACATTTATAAGATAAAAAAAACCGTTCAGTTCAAACTTTAAACTCAAATAGTCAAATTACTTTATCAAATATCAATTACCGTCTACTGATCAGACATATTTTATATTATTTGAATTATATGATATAATATAATTTTAAACCAAAAACGATTCTGAGACGGTTTGTCAGCCTAGCATATTTTATATTATATTTATATTGTTATTAATATGGTAGCCGGTTAGTAGTTGAAGCTTAGTATTTGTATATTATAATAAATAATAATAGACATTAAAAGTTTCAAGTAATATAGTACCAGCGAATAATATTTTTAAAATTTAACACAAAACTATGTATACGTATATTGTATAAATCGTTCGTATAAATATCCAATTTTGTCCCAAATTTGAAAATAAAATAAATATTTAAAAAAACTGTGTTTTATATTTTTTGGTTATAGAATAATACATACTTAAGTAGAAACTTGTTTTAAATTGTCAATTCTTACTGTTAAAAGTTGAACATTTACAAATTTTTAACTACAAAATCATTTTTAATTTTAAATTTGATACATTTTGTCAAAATTCGAATTTTAAATGCTTATTAAAAAAAAATTGTACCTATGTACTGCCATTGTAAAAATATATCAAAATTTTCACGCTTTTCGACACAACAAATAAAATTGTATTGACATTTAAAGTAAAAAAAACCCAAATTGGAAATTGAAATTATCCGTAATAACAGCTCAAAACAAGTCAAAATATTTTGAAAATTGTAAAATGCTTATATAATTAATATTCAAAAACTGATTTTGCATAAAATTTCCAATTTTTCCTTTTTTTTTATTTTTCACGGTACTTTTGAAAACTACTGGGAATTTTTACCTCCCGAATGCCTCAACTTGATTCTCTTTCCCATCGGACAAGATATTGAAGTGGAAAATCGAAGCATTATTTCGACTACTTATCGGGTCAACAGTCACAAATTAAAATTAAAAATTAAATGAAAAACAAAACCCATGTATCATTGTAAAATCAATATACATTCAACGCTCCGCTCAGAATCTACAACATTTTAACTATATTTAGTTTACAAAACACTATACTATGATAAATAATTATAATTATTTTACTTTGTGAATTACAATTTTTACCACATAAAATTAATTGTATTATTAATTATTTATGCCATATTTAATACCAAACACGATTTTTCACATAATATATAGGTATACAAATTCAAGTTGTACCTATTCATATCAAAATACATTTAAATTTCCACAGTAATTCAGTAATATTTAATTCATATAAAATACAAATAAATAAAAAATGAAAAAATAAGTACGTAGACTGCGTAGTATAAACAAAATTATATAATGAATAAATAACTGTGATATAGGTACAGCTAGGATATACATATATCTATTCTAATATATTTGTTTCAAAAAAGACAATAACATATCATACATATCAATACACCATGTATTTAGAATAAATAATAACTATACTATCACCATTGTATTTTTTGTACTCAGGTATTGTTAATGTCACCGATATATCATCAAAATTTACGATAGACACAATTGGAAGGTGTGCTTTTGGGATAAATTGCAATACATTGTTTGACTCAAATACAGAATTTCAACGAGCTGGACAGGCGGTCTTTACACCCACGCGGAAATCGTCTGTGTTAAACTTCATGAGATTAGTTGATCTAGGATGGCTTGTGGACTTGTTTAGATTACGTAGTATGCCCGATCTCGTCTATGAATTTTATTCAAATTTATTTCAAGATACACTGGAGCTGCGTAAAAATGAGAAGGAGGATCGTAACGATTTCGTTTCAATTTTGATAAAATTGAGGAACGATGAAAAAAAAAACAACAGTCGAGTTGGTAATTTATAAGAAAGACATTTTATTATTTTAAATTCATATTAGTTATGTTTTGCATGTTAAGTTATTAGATTACGGTTGACTATAGGTATTTATTTATATATAGTTTAACGGGCTATGCCCTTTTTACAATATTTAACAACTGTTGTACCTATAATAACATGCGTGGAAAAGACAAGAAGGTAAATTATATACTTGTTAATTAATCTTATTCCAATACAAAAAAAAAAAGAAAACTAATCCTTTATAATTATCTTATTAATTCTAAAGCCTTAAATCTAAATATGTTACTAAAAAGTACAAAAAAATCTAATTTGGTTGATATCTTATTGGCCAGAACAAGAGCTCTTGAAAAGAATGTACTATTCCCACTATTGGTAATATACTTAGGAATTACGAAAAGATCCAAGTTTCTTGTGTTTATACTTGGGACGCGAAAACCAATTTCGGATAGTAAATCAGGACAGTCGATGAGGTTGTTTAAAATATCATAAACTAACATAATATCTGCTAATTGACGTCTGATATTAAATGAGTTAAGTATTAAACTAGTAAGTGTAATATTATCCTTATAATTCCTTATAATATATATTTATTATTACTTCACAAGTGACACAAGTCTAGTATGAGTGAATATAAACCTAAAATATTGAAATAAATAATAACACAACCTCGTCGTGTCCGGAATTCACCGCAATACTGCTGCCATGTTCTCCTCGGATTACCTACCTATAAGTGACTAAATTTCACGTAAATCGATTTTAACTTTAGGTGACTGCAGTATATGTTTTACTAGACACTCAAACCTGGTTTTATATTTCACACTTTATACATACAAAAAAGCATCGGATATGCGACGGCACAAAAACCATTCAATTTTACGAAGGAATAACACAAATAAATTTTTTTTTTAAAGCAATTGTTTACCCGGGAAACATTGGATGGAACAGCCCGAACAGCTATAACAGTTGATCAATTGAGACTTGAGATATATAATATATTTTTTAACTCTCATTATATTTTAATCGATACACAATAATAAATTAATAATAATTTCAAACAATTTTCAGAATTATTTACGGACGATGTCTTAGCTTCAAACGCATTTATATTTTTCGCGGCTGGCTTTGAAACCACTGCATCTGCAATGAGCTATTGCCTGTACGAGTTAGCTTTGAATCAAGACATTCAAGTCGAATTACGAAAACAGATCCAACATACACTAAACGAAAACGAAGGGATTCTTACTTACGATGTGATAAAAGATATGAAGTATTTGGATATGGTGTTGAATGGTTAGAGCGCAAGTTTAATGTACAAAAATTCTAAAATGTTAACAAAAAATATTTATTTTTTCGAAATACTATAACTCATAATTACAAATACTATCGTCTAATTTAGAAACGTTGAGAATGCATCCACCTGGGCCTGGTCTACTGCGAGTGTGCACCAAAAAGTTTAAAATACCAGACAGTGACATAACATTGGACACCGGTATGAAAGTGCTTATACCAACATATTCGCTACATCACGATCCCGCGTATTATCCAAATCCCGAATTGTTTGATCCCCTGCGGTTCACAGAGGACAATAAAGCTTCGAGACCAAATGGAACGTTCCTCCCATTTGGCGACGGACCTAGGATTTGTATAGGTAAATATTGTTCACTTAAGTAGGTATTGCACTACATTGTATACTAGCAGTAATGCAGTACCTATACTACGTAGTACGTAGAATATCAAAACTAGACAAATAATATAATAATTAATATACACCTTGTTGGTTCGGCGCTATATAGGTCTGCGATTCGCACTGATGGAGGCCAAAACAGGACTAGCAGAAATAATATCGAAATTCGAAATATTTCCGTGTAAATATACAAAAATTCCCATTAAATTAAATCCAAGATCTATTCTACTAACACCAAATGAACCAATAAGTTTATTGTTTAAACAAATTGTATGATTTTTTAGTAAAAAACAAATAAAACACTATATTTTTTATTATATTATTATGTTTTTTATTATTGTATTATTATATTTTACTCTTTGTTGCTTAAAGTAATAGGTACGAGATACCTACTCTTAAATTGTACCTAATTATTGACTATTGTACCATATTGTTCACGTTGAATTCAATAAATTTAACTAAGACACTATATAAGTATGCAAACTGTAATTTGTATACTGTATGAGATAAATCTATGGAGTATTTACGATTTCTTTCTCGGGATGATATAGGTACCTAGGTAATAAAAAAAAATCGGCAAACCACTCAGAATCTAAAAATTGAGCATTTTATAAATTTTTAACTAGCTACAAAATTATTTAAAAATATATATAATTTTAATATATTATTACTAAAATTAAACTTTAAACGATAATAATATAAGAATCCATATTTGTGTATACACTATACAGGTATGCTTAATACGTGTAAACCATCACTATTAAAATAACTTATCATGAACCTTTTATTTTTTCTATTTTATTCTTTGACACAATGAAACATTTTTATTGATATTTATAGAAAATAAAAATAAAGTTTAAAATTATTTAAATATCTTTAAATAGGTAGCTCAATAATATAAAATATATTTTTTAAATCATACCATGTAATGCCATGTATATATTAAAATAATATACATTTTTGGTGAAAAAATTTAAGGTTGCTATTCGATTTTGAATTACAACAAAATGATAAAATCATTCCATGACAAATAAATTTACGATTATCAATATTTATTAATCAATTGATTTAAGGGTGAATATCAGTAAAATAAGTTGATAAAATGATCAATTAATTTGACTTTTCGGTAGAAAAACTTTTTTTTTGTAAAGAAAAAACTTATGTGGAATCTTGTTTTCAATTTAGATATTTTTTTAGATATAAAAATCAAAGTTCTTATGAATTTTAACATTTCAAACAGGCAATTCTTAATTTTAGCTTCTGGTTTTTGAAGGCCCCATCGAGGGCCTATGTGTCGTGTTCATTGCAAACATTTCACACCCAATTGTTGCGGCACTGGGTAGTAAACGGTTACGGTAGAGTGTAGACACTGTCCTAACTTAAAGCCGCGTCCACACTAGAGCACGCACAGACCGAGCATGTGTACTAGAGCACGCAAGAGCGATTTTGACGCACGGCGAACGCGAGCCGATCTAGTCGGCTCGCGTTCGTTGTGCGTCGTGAGCACACATGCTCGGTCTGTGCGTGCTCTAGTGTGGACGCGGCTTTAGACAATTGACAAAAACAAGTGCAAAAAAAACAATAATTTTATCATGGATAATAATTAATAACAATTTAAATAATATTTTTTAGTTTGTATCATTATAATAATCTAATGACGGTCGACGGATAACATAACGTTACGTTACAAATGCAAATTCATTAAGTAATATAGTTTTATACTCTATTCCCTCCCCGTAAGTTAACCCACTTTTTTGAGCACGCTGAGTAGGGTGGAACCTTGACAATACCAGTGTCAGCCTGGTACTTATAAAGGGCCCCAAAAAATATTATTTCAAAAAATTATAAAAAGTGCTAATAAACAGGTAGTGCAAAATATTATATTTTTTTATAAAGTACCTTATTTAAAAATTAAAATACACTTTTAAGTTAACTACATAGTTATAGTAATTATTACAGGGGCTTTCGTGGCTTAGCTGCTATGGCCAGGCCGACACCGGGCAATATAGTTAACACTACGTATACGGTATACGCCATGGTGTTTTGCAATGTCAATCTGAGAAACTACAGTAGTACAGTGAACTGTATTTACACCTACTTGCGCAAAAAAAAACAAAAAAAAAAGTGGCTTAACTCACGGGGGATAGAGTATAGTAATAAATAATAATTAAATAATTTGAATTTTATAAATTCTTTGATCGTTTCGTCCGCGTGCGTACGGCGCCGTGGTCAATGGTCGGCGTGCGGTTGGCGTGTGAGGTTAGACGTACCGTGATGCGTGGTTAGTGTTTTCAAATTCCGCTTCTCGATATCACTGAACGATAGTAGGTAACATACCGAATTATATCGATCCATCACCCATAAATTACCATTGGGCACATAGATAATAAAGATAATATGAATAGGCCATGCATAATAATATGTTAAATACTTAAATATATTTGAAGGGGAGGCAATTGAGGACGTGATTGATAGTCGATACTCGATATAGATATACTTTATTTGGCCTCAATTGTTCCACTCGAAGACCGCTGATAAGACCATTATGTCCTATCCATATCTTCTATTATCTATGACCGTAACACTACCACAGTACCACCACAGAATTATTATTCTGTGGTACCACTCTAAGTTGCACCCGCGACCCGCAACTCACCAGTCGGTTATCAACACGTTTTTCGTAATTTTCCAGCATTCTTCTCCTTATCAAATCTAGCCTATTAATTAGTATTATTTATTTATATTTATTATATTTAATTATATAATACCTAATTATTAGTAATTACTAATAATTTATTGCCTACGACAACGACTACATTAGTTGACTAGTACACGAGTACACTATACCAGTCACACCGCCAAGGTGGTCAACGATCACGTTAATACTTAATACCTTTAACTTTATCCAGTTATCCATTTATCATCATTCATCACCTACCAGCGTGCGCAGCCCAACTACAATTCCGATTTCCGACAGACGGCGTGTCGTACTGTAGTTACTCTACGTTTAGCGTTTATTAATTCTACTTTCACTGCTCCGGACGGATGGTTGCAGATATCGTTGTTTATTACAAGGCAATAACATTACGCCATAATAATATACTAGCATTTCGCAGAATTTGAAGATAATATCAGCGTTCCTCGTTTGGCGTTCGCCAATTCTACAGTTTCCGGAACAAGCTTCCGGTTTCCACACACGCTTTACTGTGCACATTTTGGGCTAAGCGGCGTCCCAACATGGTAAGTAAAAAATACACAAAATATGGTACTCACGAGCAAACGATTATCACAAAATGCCTCACCCCTTACACTTACATTTACCTATTTATGCCGTTCCTTTAAAGGTTTATAATAAGTTAACATTTTTTTTTAGCAATTCTTGATTGTTAAATTACTTGTGCTATTTAAAACAAATATAACTCCCTTTAAAATTAAAATATCGAAAAAAAACTTACTAGATTCACTAGATAATATTCTTATTTGAACATTTGATAATCTGATAATTCACTTTTATATTAAATATAACAGGGTTAAATAGATAAATCAGAATGTACATTTATCAATGTTTGTAAGACGAAGAATGCGCATGCGGGTGTAGCGTCCTCTTAAGATAATTGCAGATAAAATGATTCTAGAGCACATCATATTTTTGGACGATACATTAGTATAAAATTAACTATTCCAACTCAATGGTTTTCTCTTCTTGAATAGTTGCTGTAGAATTTTACTAGGTACCTATTTTTTTTTTTTGCGATTGGTAGTATCTTCATATAATAATAAATAATAATATACCAACTGATACATTATATATTTTTAAATTTACACCATTTGAATCTAGAGCACATATCATGATACTTATATACATCAATGGAACATTAGTATATTCCAGCTGTATTATAGCTTCTATGAGTATGCCTATCCCAAATCAATTGTTGTCCTTATGATATAAGATCCTACTGCATTTTCTAATTTTAAATCTGTGTAAAAAATATATCTGTATACTATAGGTACTTGGCTTAGGTACTTGCACATTGTGAATAATTAAATTAGTATGAAGGCACTACTAAAAAATAAAATACAAATAAGTATCTTGTAGTAGGCATACCCCTTTATTTTTCTTATGACTATACTCTATTCAGAATAAGAACACCCTTACGCGTTGACTGGTTTTCCTTTTGCGACGGTCAGACGTCGTCCTCACTACAGCTGCACGTAATGTGCTGCCACAGAATAAAGCCACGCCCATTCTCACAACTTGGCCGCCGAAGGCTGTTCTCATTCTGAATGGAGTATAGTCACTTATAATAGATTATGGTCTGTAATATATTGAATGTTCACTGTTATGTATAATATGATGAACTTTGATGAACTACCTACAATAACAAACTTGTATGGACATTGGAAATTCTCTTGATATATTTAATATAATATTCTGTAAAACATAGGTAGGTATGAGTTAAATTTACATAAAAGGAGCTAAACAAATAACTGGATTTTACCGCCCGGTAAACGCCTTCTGGTTTTTTTTAATATAAAAAGTTAGATTATATTTAACAGATAGTGATGTTTTTTTCCAGCCGATCAGTTTGTTCGGTTTGCTGGCTGTCTGGCTTAGTTTTTGATCAGCGGGTGGCGACCATGCCAAATTTATATAAAAAATGTTTTTTTATTATTAATATACATTTAAATTACTACAATATATTTATATGTTGGCTAGTTTGTATTAACATAGCGTGGGTACTACATGGTAATAGCACATACCCCGTGTCTGGACCCAAAGAGAACTTTTTTTGGTGCACCACTGTAACATAATTTCATACAAAACCATTAGCTATTACTTTTACAAAGCACTTGCAATTTATTATTAAATACTTATTAATTGTATTAGAAGATTCAGAATAACTTTTTGCTTCTAATCTAACTAAGACAAAAACTATATTTAATTATACTTTTCTATATTTCAGTCTATAGCCGAATTCTTGGATGGCATGCCATCATTTGATGAACGCAATTTTTCCCGTTTCCATTCAGACAATGGTCGAAGCAAGCGTGTACCAGTTTACATAACAACCGAGGACCAACCTTGCGACCAAAGTTTGTAGTTATTCAATTATATTATAATACATTTTTTTTAAACCTGTATAGAATTTGCAATGAGAACTGTTAATTTTAACTTAAATTGTGTACATTGTAGAATTGAAACATACAAATGACTGTAATATTTGTATGTCATTTAATATAAATATACAATGTGTTAATGTTTTTATATTTTAAAATTAAAATTATATTATTTTTAATTTCAGTTATTGTTACTGACAAGTCAAATTTATTACTCCGGTATTTACATAACCAATGGGATAAAAAGGTAAATGTATAATTCAAAGAACCTATTTAGCATAATTAACTTCTTCCTAACTGATTTTTAAATATAAGATCTTATTTTAACGTCTAATACTATTTGATATATCTATAAAATTGAAATAATTAAACTTTATGCAATATTATATAATCAATGTTTTTTATACCGGTTGATCCATTTAACATAATACACTAGTTATTTGAAAAACTAGTAACATTTTGAAAAATAATTTTTTACACAATTATAAAACAACATTTAAAAAAATATATATATTTTTTTACTATTTTGAATTTTTATCTTTTTATCAATTTTTGGATTACTACAATGTATAAAAATCTAATTTTTGACGATTAATTTATGAGTTAAAAGTATTTAAAAATGAAATCGCCAGCCACCAAGAGTACCCTTCTAAATGTTAATCCACTACTCCGCTCATCTAAACCATAAATCTTATAAGTTATAACTAAAGACCGGATTTATAATATGCTTTTTAAATTGTAAAACATGCATGCAAACGTGCACTAAAAAAAGTCAAAATATGCAAGAAAAAAATATAGTAAAATTTTAATTTGTATTTAATTTTATTAAAAAAATTTTAAACAAAAAGTAAAATGCATAAAGGTCCCCACAAACATCAGCGGTAGCGTTAAATTCTATTGTCTTGGCTTTACCGCCGCGGTGAATGGTCAAATGTGTCCTACAGCAATTCATTGCCACCTCTGCAGTGTGTGGGGACCTTTATATAGCACAAGGACACGGTACAAAAATGTAATTTGTTAAATTGTAATTTAATTTTTAATCATTAATATATTGCAAACCAAGCAAGTAATTTTAGTAAGTAGGTATGACAAATTTAATTCTTTGAAACATAATATTTGATATTTAAACATACATTTAATATTTCTTTTATTTGTGCTCAACACTTTTGTACCATTAGGTGTATATTTGTATGCGTTTATGTGAAAATATGTAGACCATGCACTAACGTTGGAATATGCAAAAATATGCAGTATAAAATGTTGATATTTAATCAATCAAGTAATATGATATGATGTTAAAAATAATAACATGCATTTTGTGCAAAATCCGGTCTTTGGTTGTAACTAATAAACGATGTATTTTTTTGAAATTTAATTTTTGTAGATTCTAATAGGAACTCCAAATAATAATCTGTTTCTTCTGGAGTATAAAATTGAAAATAGTCAAAAATACTATGTTTTCCCAAAGTTTTGTTTTTTATCTACCTTAAATAATGTTAAAGAAATATTTTTAAATAATTTAATGTTTTCCGAAATGATGAGGGTCTTGCATTAAATGGATCTCATCATATTACTTAAATTGAATGTATAAACCACAGTATAGGTTATTACTTATTACCAGGGCTGTGAATTTAATGCATTTGCATGTTTTTTTTTTTTTGCTATACTGTATCATAAAATGGATTCTGCCAGAATTTGTATTGCCTTATTTATAATTCAAATACCAAATATTATTTTGCATATTTTTGAATATTTCATGGGTTAGGGCATATAAATGCATGTTTTAATGATTTTTTTGTATAAATGTTTTTTTTGTAATATTAACATTTTTTTGGTCAATCTGTTCTAAATTGACATTAAAATATTAAATTTATTTTTATAAACTATGACTTGTATAGTTTTATGGAAACTATTCTATTTTTACTCTGGGAATTAATGTGCATTATTGACTTTTGTACTATTGAAGTCGAGATTAAACAGTTCTCAACAACAACAAAGGATTTAAAATGACGTGTAATATTTAAAAATATTAGCTGGTGAAAAAGAGAATGTAGGTTTGGATATATCAGAAGATTTAACCGTAGACATATTTCTAGTTTGCCCTAGGGCCTAGAGTCCTATTCTTTATATAAAACTTTGTTGGCGCCAAACAGGAGGTCTTTCAAGTTTGATAATCTAAAGAAATCATTGATTGTACAATGCAATAACTACTTTAAAAGTAAAATATATACTTATAAGTAGAAATATAATCTATTCTAAGCATATTTCTTTTATTTATCTTGTATACAACAAAGATCAAGACTAATCAATCTCAATAAGTCATATACTTATATCAGTCATATTAAAGTGTAACAATACTAATATTTAAAATAAAATAAAATAAAAATTATAATGAAGAAAATAAAAATAAAAGTTACATTTTTGCATATTTTGTCAGTTTTTAGTGCATTTATGCATGCCTATTTAATAGTTTTTAAGTGCATTAAATTCATAGCCTTGCTTATTACTCATTATAGGGATTTCCAAGCATAAATGAATAAATTATCTTCTTTAACTTTTAAGGGATGTAGCGTAGACTTTTAAAATGTAGTTATTCAATAAATGACTATTTAGTATTTACTTAAATCTGTCAAAAAGTTCCATCACTGGATGGATTCTTCCTTCAAGCCTCCAACCCATCAACTCCCACAGCGTTTGTACTTATTGTAAAAAAACACATTTACAGATTGTATAAATAAATATTGTAGCAAAAAAAAAAAAAAAATCGTATCTACTTAACTTTTATATTGTTTTAGAATATAATATAATATTACCAACAAAATCACAGAAACTATACTTTGTATTCCAAATAAACATATATAAATATATTATATATTTGGCCATTTAGATAATTAATTGTTCTTTTTGAATCTTTTATATCTTGTATATAATTATAAATTATATAAGATATAGTAAAATCTAATAGGAGTTACACTGATAATTATGTTGTATAATTTATATTCTAGCATGGAGGTAAAAAAAGGGAATGTGTTGAAACAGGCGAAGAAGCTGGCTCATCATCTAGAAAACGTCCAAGAATAGATGTACCTATATTGTAAAACTTTTTGCAATAAAATAATTCCAATGCATATAAGTTCTCTAATGTTTTTGGACTAAAATTCCTGATTTGATTGTTTTTAAGAGAAATACAATTCGCTAATTTAGGGATGTATTAGTCTATAGACTATTGCTTAATAAACCTATTTAGTAATACACATGGTATTATTTTGAATGATTTTTATAGTTTGCAATAATATTCAATTTACAACTGTTTCTTTTGATATTCACAACTTGTATTGATAATATTGTATGCCTAATAATAAGTCATTCAGTTGTTTAACCTTTTTGAATTGTTTTCATTATATTGTATTTATAATATGTGTTAATTGTATTTCATGTGTAACTAAATTAACATTTATTATTTGTGTAACTAAATTGTGTACTAAGAATATAAGTAACCCTTCCCAATATTATACTTTGTCAACAATTTTATGTTACAGCTTACAATAACTTATATTTATTTATGTTCCACCATTAGTCTTAAATATTCTTATATGAAACAATTTTCAATAAATTTCTATTTATTTTGACATGTCATTTAAGTTTATTATATCCTAGTCAAAAGTCTAAAAGTACCACAGTACCACACAAAAAAAATTATACATTCATCTTTAGCTTATACAATATTATGATTGATCATTATAATTTATAACTTAATATTAAGTTATACTAAATGATTACATATTTATTTGATAATAATTTTGATTATAATGTTAAAAATAAATCGATTAATGATTTGGGTACGGACTACCTAAATAAAATTGTACAAAATTCCTATATTTTGTATATTATAGTGAAACATGTTGAGTGAATTGACCTATTGTCATATTTAAAGGTAAGGTTATTATATGAAAAAATAGAATAGGTATTTTGTGGGTGTATATTGATATTTAAATTTTTAAATGAGTAACTACTATTAAAGGTAGAAACTCATAATTGGTTTCGTAGAACGCTATTTCACTATGTTGTACCTTTGTACAACAACACAAATATGTGGGTGGGTGTGTCTGTGGTGTCTCTCCATAAGTCAACAACTAAAATTTGACTATATTTTCACGTGTTTGTTTATTGCTGTATAGTCTTATTGCTATGAGATAATATTATAGCCTATGCTCTATACCCATTAAAAGTTAAGTATATAATATTATTTTTATAAGTAGGTTCTGTTTTGTAACCCTGCAGTGTTATACAAATAGTGTGCTGAATATTAAAATTACTGCAATCATATAAACTTGGCAATATTGACTATTTTAAGCTAAATAACCTAACATAGCCTAACCATAAGCAAATATCAGCTAGAAAACTTATGTATTCACTATTAATCAGGCCCTATTTTTATGTGCACCACGACACACAATATGCACTACGAATATACAAGTGTGCACTACGATTTGAATGTGTGTGCACTACGGTCTACAAAACAAAAATTGCCAAGTCAGGGATCGGCATGTAAACTTTCTTGATTTTGAATTTTTAGAAATTTTTTAACTGATTTAATCACACCCAAGCGGTCAAACAATATGAATCCAGAAAAATGTCGGCGTGACACCGCCCCACAAAAAATCATTTTCATTTTCATTTAGTGAGATAGATCTCCGAAACCGGACAGCGGATTTCGTTGATTTTGGTCTTGTTAGATTCACATTGGTTAGGAGAAGTGCAGTGAAGATTTGCAAAACTTTATCTTTAATAGTTAATTCACTACAGAACATTAAAATAAATTAAAACAAATTTTATTGGGCGTTTTTTTATGTTTTTCATCTTTACAGCTTTGTAATGAAATAACGATTTTAGATAAAGTTCTGAAAATCTTCACTGCAATTCTCCTAGCAAATGTGAATTTAACAAGACCCCAAACAACAAAATCCGTTCTCCAGTTTCGGAGATCTACATCTCTAAATGAAAATCTAGAGAAAATAACTCTTTTTTTTTTATCTGTGAAAAATTAAATAGGTAATTAAAAAAAAAAAATTAATTCCATATTTAGTGTCTACCTGATAATCCCTTTTTAATGAGTTATCAACCAAATTTCTAGCTAGCTAGGTATCATAGTTTAGGATAAAAGTTAAAAAATAGAAATTTTGGGACTGTTCACGCTAATGTTTTTATCGATTCAAATTAGGTATACCGCTTGGGTGTGATATAAAATCTCTCTTATTAATATTTTATATTAAAGCTAGCTAAATTACCCACCTATTCATCATTACTGAGTTACATTTTTATTATTTTCCTATTTAACACAAATTCTTGAAGTTTTCAAAGTTCAGACTTTTTTCATTTCAATTACTATACTTACTTGATGAAAAATCTAGAAAGTAATATGCATTGTTATGATTTTAATTATTAAAAAGTTAAGTTAAGGTTTTTATTATTATATTATGCTATTTAATTTTTATGATTTTTATTAAAAGATAGGTAAGTATTTTGTTGTTTTATTGAAAAATTATTATTTATTGTTAAATTATTGTATACATCATGTAATATGTATTATGTAATACATTCCTTTTGCTAAGATGGTAGCGAGAATAAAATGAAACGTGCAGTCCAAAATTTTACAAATAATAGGGCCTGCTATTAATTTTAATTCATATAGAAATAATGTAAAAATTCCCGAGTTTGGATATAAAAAATGGAAATTGATGTTGCTAACATAAATACCTATGATAAACTACAAAATATGATAATTTATGTGTTATTCACAAATCACAATTATAGATTGTTTAAACACAAATAAACAGAGCCATAGTTTAATATTGGGAGGGGGGATTAAGCGCTCCCAGAACAGTTTATTTAACAGTTTCCAACAGCAAACCATTAACGGTATCACTTATTATTAATTTGATGTACCTACTACCTATACAGTACTACAACAGGGTTTTTGCATGTGTCACAACTAGGGCAGACAGTGCCGGATCCAGGGCTTAATTTTGGGTGGTAAAAGTACAAAATTTTCTAACCACAGCAGTGTAGAACAAATGGATTAGGGAAACTACGACGATTGGAGAGGGGACAAATTCCCCCATTGCAACCATCCGCCACTGAGAGCAGAAGACTCTTGTATTACATTTTCATATCTTAGATTTAAAATGAAACATTTTTATGTATTTCTAATTCAAAATAATTTTCAAATTTTCGTGATTTTTACCAATTTTCTCAATATTTGAACTTTAAATGCTTACAAAAAAAATTGTGACTATGGATTTCTAATATTTTTCATCTACCTTGAAACAATATATTAGGAGCTTTCTATTAAAATGTCAAGCTTTTTTACCCAACAAATAAAATTGTATTGATATTTATAAAAAAAAAACTAAACAAATTGGAAACTTAAAATGTCAGTAAACAGCTCAAAATAAGTCAAAATATTTTGAAAATGTTATGATGTATAGAAAATCTTATATTATAAACATTCAGTGAAAATTGCATGTATCTACGGTATTTTGTTTTAAAGTCACACCAAAAACCAAAATCGATTTTATAATTTATTCAACAGGTATCTTTTGGCATCACGCTGTGTCAACCTTTTATTTTTAATTACCTATCAATTTAAATACTAAAATACCTATATGTATTTCAACTATACAGTATTAAAAATACAGTAAGTACAAATTAATGTATACCTATAAGGCTATGTATGGCTCCATATATATTATAATAATAATAATAATATGGATACCTACAATACTTATCAGGGTTGTGTAATAAAGTAACAAAAGTAACGTGTTACTGTAACGGCGTTACTTATTGTTCGTATTACATTATAATTATTTCCAAGTAACGTAATGGTCTGAATGACTGAATGGATATTAATTTTGATAAGTAATATCTATAGTATAAAGCATTACAGTTTTGAAGTGTTCAGTAGTAACTAGTAAGTATAGTAACCGGTAACGGCAGCAGTGCAGCTCTTAAGTTCAAAAAAAAAATTATTATATTCATATTGTTATTTTTGTCAACGTTACCAGTTACATTAATGGTCAAGCCCATTTTGGAAGGTCACAACTCACAAGATGCTTCTTCCCCTTTAAAAACAAACAGCACTTTAAAACCTATTTTCCATCCCTATCGAGACGCTATCCTAGATAAAAATAACATTTTCTAAATTTTTATTACTCAAAAATGTATCTTACTGATGCAGTGATGTCCTAAACTCATTACATTAGTACCTACCTATTGGGAATTGAGAAATAATAACAGCCTGTTATTAACACGTAGGTAATACTATTATAAAGTATTGTCTATAAAATATAACTACCTATCTAATGTGGGTATCAAATATATCAATACAATATATATATATTTAATTTTAAATCGCCACAGTTCAGTTTTTAATGATTTTGACACGTCTACTTGCACCGTATATTACGAGTAAAGTTAATTAAAGGTAATATTTAATTCGATTTCTTTAAATACGACAGTACGAAGGGGAGCAAGGCGAGTCAAATTGTCCTTTCTGGGTTCTTAATTCTGTTTGCCAAACCTCCTGCCACCAGAAAAATGTCTGCAGACGCCTGTGAAGATAAATAATTAATAAATATCGATCTCAATCGTATTGTTTTTCTAATGTAAAAAATAATAAAATAAGGTACAAATTTGCTTAGTTGTACGATGGCAGCTTGCATAAATTACAACATGATTAAAAACGGTTAGATTTATTTTCAATTGATAAATATAAAATATGATTAGGTACAAACCAACAAAAATCGTTCTATGTTATGTACAGTTATAAATATTATATTATTAAATTTATTTACAGTGATAATAATCGTTAGTACTTTTTACAACTAACTATTACTCATTTTTACATTATCACAATATGACTTTCTTTCCACTCAGACACTATTTTTATCCATATATGTAATATATATTAAAAATAGTGTTAAAAATCAAATTATACAATACAATATAAAAAAAAAGTTATGTTACAGCAATGTACAAGACCACAGAAGTTTTGTACGAAAAATAAATAAAAATATAGAAAGTAACTTTAAAGAAATAGAAGATATTATGTACTGTAATATTAAGATGAATTTTAACAAAATATTGATACAATATTGATTTAAAAATAATAACTAAAATACATTTTTAACATTTTGTTAGTAAACATTGTTAAATAGTGTTAAATTAGATTTCAGTCTTATATTGTAATATACCTACTTACCTATCGTAAATTTATGAACTAAGTTTGAGGTGTTTATTCTGATTAAACCACCTCTAGATTATTGAGTATTGACAATGACAAATATTGGTACCTATATAACAAATTATTCAAATGTACGATGTTTCATTATAAAATACATGAATGTTTTATTTATCAAATCAAGGTAATCCAATTTATATTGGTATAGTTGAGAAATGTGTACAAAATATATTTCAAGCATTTTAGCAACACCTCGGACTAAACACGATACCTAGATGTAAAATTAATCACGTCATGATAAATGTACATATAGCTTGTTCGTATAAACACAACTTGAAACAGTTGAAACGTAGTATAATCACGGGGATTAAGCACCGCACTAAGCTCTCCCAAATGCACTACAATAATATTGTAAACCACTTGTTTTTTTTGGAAGGGTTGAGGGGGTATTCCCTACATTATATACGCGCCACTTGCAGGATTGTTGACATTTCACCACTTGCCAACATCATAGTTGTTCCAACGATTTAATATAAAATGTCCGTCGATGAATTCAGTCGATAATACACATTACTGCATGATATAATAGTATACCTAAGTATTCAATAAGTAGGTACCTAGGTACCTTGATTCAAACGTAAACGTCAACGGACAAATCATAATTATTACATAATATTATAATACCGCGGTGATATTTTAAGTCATACCGTCGATTTCGTCAAAACTCAAAAGGTTTAACAATCAATATGGCACATTGAATAGACATACTTAATTAAATAATATTTTAAGCTCTTCAGCTGACTTACGCGATTCTCAAAACAAAAACAAATTTAAAAACTAGGTACGTTATGCATATACAATATTCTGCAATCTGCGGAAATCCGGAGCGATTGACTACCAAAGTTCCGGGCTGGTCGGCGGTGAGTTCCGGAAGTGATGCAGGTGCCAATCGACTTCGGGGCGAGTTCTGGGTGAACTGAAGCAGTGATCCACCAGGTTATAAGACGGTTGTGGCCTGGAGTTTCACGTACCTGGTCCGGTGGGTGCCGTTGTCGGGCGGCGGCACGGGCAAGAAGCACTGGTGCGTTTGGACGGTATTCGCGCGGCCGGCGGGCTTCTTGTTGTTACACGCCCGACACGCGGTTCTGTACACCAGCAACACGAACAGGAACACGAGGGCAGTGAACGTGGCCGACAACAGGAACGCGTAGCTCTTGGCGCCCAGCACCGCGAATAACCAGTCGGCCGGGCCACTGCCTCCGATGCCGCCCCCGCTGCCATCCACTGACGTGCACACCATGGTCTCCTCGTCGTCCTTGGGGAACTTTGAACCGATGCTGGCACATACCTGATACGACCGCTCGGCTGGCAGTTCCGCGACCGTGGTCCAGGGCGCCGTGCAGTTCAACCGGTGGTGGGCCAGGGGCCTACCCATCGTGTACACGGACACCGTTATCGTGCACTTGCCCGCGTCCGGGTGCACGACCGACAGGTGTACGGCCACGAACAGCGATGACGGCGGCACGAACGTCGTGGTCAGGTTTTGGATGTCAGGCGGGTCCGCCGCCTCAGTTGCTGCCACCGCCCGGTTGTTGGACTGCACTGCTTGGTTCGCGTTCGGTACCAATGCGATGATGTCGCTGCAGCCCAGCACCATGGCCGATTCGTCCGATTTGTCCGTTGAGTATCCCTCCACCAGTACAATGCAATACCTGCAAATTACAAACAGTGCCATTAAAAACTTGCAAAATTTACTTATTTTTATTGAAAAAAAAAATTAGAAAATATTTAAAACAATAGTAGTAAAATAAAAATATTAAACAAGCCTTAATGATTACCTACGTTTTTTTATTCTTATATATTTATAAAATTCATTATTTAAAGTATTGTTCTACAGATAGGCATTACCAATAATTGACAATCAAAAATAGTAGATACATAATACAATATCAGTGTTTTAATTTATCGATATAAATATATTTTTTCTTCGGAAATAAAGTTAAATTGTTACTGAAAATCACGAGCACCAATAAAAAAACATCCCGAGAATAACCTCAATGATTGTCCAAAAATAATAAAAATTTGCTCATCTTTTATATTTGATAGGGATGTAACTGCACATTACAGTAAATAACATAATATTATAAACTAATATGATCAAAAACTCAAATATTCTAACTAAATTGTACACATTGTATTATTATTTATTATGCACTACACCTAATATTACATATATTATTGAACGTTGAACTATATTGTGGATTCCCATTAAGCGTAGTTCCCAGTTCGTATATACGGTATACCTATATGATTATTTAAGTTTTCAAGTTTATAGGCAGTTCGATGCAGGTAACACTGTGACAGGTATACCATACATATAAAACGAAGTATTTAAATGTCAGCATATCTATATTATTAAACGGTTGAGTGACGAGTGATGTGCACTATGACATTTGACAAACACGCGATGACAGCGATGAAACACTCTGTGTAAGTACTAAGTACCACTATGATACGAGTATATTATCCACGTGCCGGTTCGATCACTAATATTGTGCTACAGGGTGAGTATATTCTAGCTGCAGTATTTATTAATATTATTATAATATACTGACCTGTAACTGTGCGTCGGTTGCAGTTCGTTAGCCGATAGCGAAAGCGTCAGACTCCTAGCGTCGGGCAACTGGGACGAATTGCACCTGACCGGCTTCGAGTCGAGCAATACTTCATGGTTGCCGATGTCCTCGTAGATGACTAGCGCGTTGCAGTAGTAGGATATGACCGGCGCTACGACTGTCCAACCTAGGCTGATGCGGCTTCCGTCGAACTGGTAGGAGCGAAGCGAGATTTTCGTACCGGAGTACGGCTGCATCGAAGCGAGTGGACCTTCCGGTGGCGGCACGCTGTCCTCGCCGCCGCACGTCAGCTTGGACAAGGGCAGATCCTGAAGCAGACCGTTCTCCAATGACGGAGGGGTGGCGCACACGGCCGTGTCGCCGGCCGCATGAGTCGAGCTATGATTGGACAGCCAACCGGCGAAGTACAATAGACTACAGTCGCAGTTCAACGGGTTGTCTAAAAGTTCACAATGGAAACACATATTTTAGAAAATCAACATAAAGATTAGGTAAGTGCATTACATCATACGATGGTGATCATTATTATTATCTGGTTCTGGGTTCACACCAATTTCAATGAAAAAACTAGGTGTGCTGAAGCCCCTCTATTTTTTTTCAAATTTTATCCCATGGTTATGGATACCCACATAATGACTATTAAAATTTAAATTAACATGGAAATATTGAGGGGGCCCTAATTTCAAAATGGGGGGAGGCTAAGCACACCCGAACCCCCAAATTGTGCCTAAGATATTATTGTTTGATAAAAAATATACCTATATAATAAACTCCCAAATTCCTACACCGGTAGTTGACGAGAGGATAACCGTTAACCAATTAACTAGTACCGACTTTATTTCTGCTTATCAGATACCGGCTTACCGAATTATCACGATTTAAGATAGTTGGTTGCAGTGATGAATTAACCTACAGATTAAATCATTAAATCAATAGACATTTTCGATTTGTAAATAGCGTTTCAAGTCGATAAAATATTCAACCCTAGTACTACAAAGGCTAAGGAGGTGGTAAAAAAACAAACTATATAATCAGATTACTAGGCGCGCTAGTAATAAATCGAAACAGCTAATTTCTGGATTAAATTCTGTTGCTACGATATAAAGTCCTTATAACTGATGGATAAGCAACCATACTATCTTAAATCGTGCGAATTATTAGGCATAATAATTATATCAAGTATTTTTGTTAAATAAAAACGTCGTTAACGTTGTCACTCGTCAGAGATAAGATATCACTCACGGGCATCCGGGTATCTGAGTCTAGTAGACACAGTCTATTTTATATTTAATTGATTTTGGTTATACCTGATAAAGAGATGCTCGTTATGTGGTTTCCGGTGTTCAGTGCGCCTTCGGCCACGATAGATATGTCGTTGTCGTCGAGCTTTATAACTTGGATGCTCTTTAGCGGCACGATGAGATCAGACGTCAAACTCCTCAGAAAGTTATGTGACAAGTCAAGCGTTTTGAGTTTGGTCAAATGGGCGAGTGAAGCACTGGACACCGCCACGATGCGATTGTTGGCCAAGTCCAAATGGGACAAAGTAGGCACTGCTCTAAAGCCGTGATCCTCGAGTACGTCGATCTGATTGTGGTTAAGCGTCAGAGACACGATACCCTCGAGTCCGGCAAACGAACCACGCCGAACGCTGTTGAGCTGATTATGCGCCAACGATATGATCTGTAAGTTCGGCAACCTAGGCAACGTGCTGGGGCCCAGTTGACCGGCCAGTAGGTTGGAACTGAGGTCTAACTCGATTAACGACCTCAACCCTTGGAGGTGGGAAGTCGAGGCCGACGTAAGCAGATTGTTTTGGAGTCGGAGCACTTTCAAAAATGGCAGATTAACGAACGCGTCTGGGCTGATGAAATTAATGGAATTATTGCTCAAATCCAAAAACGTCAAATTCGGCGACCCCTGCAATTAAAAAAAAACATTTTATATACTAAAAATTGATGGCATGTAGGTATATGTAGGTAGGCCTAAGCTATAACATCCTTTGTTTTTATAATTTACATAATTATGAACTTTTTTTAACACTATACAATATTAATATGTAACCGTAATTTGTCAAGCCTAAATTTATAAGTACTATAAACAAATTTGAATTCATCATTAAGTTAAATGGATTTCTCCTCGCATCACTTTGTATCGATCGGTACGATTCACTAAAAGTACACACTTGTACCGAAACATAACAATCATAATATTATATAATATGCTCAAGGTTACGGTCTCGACTCGCGAGTCATTATCATACACATACGACACACCACCTATAAGGCTATAAATACTATTAATTTATTAATTAAGTCAATGCTCTGTTCATTTACTTCACCCACCATAGTCCATAGCTAGATAAATTATTTTCATAGAATTTAAATTTATTAAGGGATGTATGGGGAAAATATTCTCACGAAGAAAAAAATGAGGGCTATCTCATCAAAAAAAAAAATTGTATTTATCCTGAAGTTGTGACTAATGACTATGGCATCCACATACGTCTATATAGGTATATACTCTATATTCTATATAGCTTTAACATAAGAAAAAACAGCAACTGACAACGTAGACATATTATATTTAACCAGGTGCAACGTCTGTACTTATTTACCTACAGGCTGCAATAGCGTTCACCATATGGTAAATCAAAACCTGCATGTGTAACCGTGTAGGACGTAAGTATTTCCGACTTCCGGTACGATTTTTGTACACCGTGTGGCCGCGTCCGTGTATAAAAGTTACTATGTTATTGTAGTATGTACCATTTGTAGTAAACAAAACACAATAATTTATTTATTTTTTAAAAAAAAATCGATTTTAGTGGGATTGTAGTGCCCCACGCAATATTTAGTGGGTTAACTAAACCCAATGACATTTCTATTATAATTATATCATAGGCGTTTTAGATATTTTTTAAGGTTGAATTATGTACAATTTAAGGTTTTTGATTTTTTTAATTTATTTGTGTAATATTGTAACGGCGTGATTTTCGTAACTAATAACATTTGTTGGATACGCATTTTGAAGTTAGTTTTATATTATTATATTTACCTAAATACGATCTACTCCTATAATGAACTATAAATACACGCCTGTATGGGAACACGTAAATTTAAGTTTTGTAAAATTTTGAAAGTGGGGGGGCCTTTGAAATGGACCTAGATTCTGAGAATGTATAGAATGTATCTATTAAATGTTAGAAAAAAATCCCTATAATTATAGGAAATATTGGTAATTGGTAACTTTAGATTAGGTATACATTGTGAGATAACGGTATAAAACATGATCATAATACCTTGAACGAATTGTTGTGAACGGTGTGCAAACGGTTGTGGGACAGGTCGAGACGCTCGAGACCGCTGAGCATGGCCAGCGCTGAGCTGGGGACCCGCTCAAGCAGGTTGTTGGGCAAGCCGAGTGCCTGGAGCGGAGACCCTAGTCCGTCGAACGCGGCGTCCGACACAGACTTGATCTCGCCGGACGACACGACCAGCCCGTGCAACGAGACGCCGTCAAGCATCTTGGCCGGCAGCGAGCCCACGTTCTGCACGGTGCAGTCCAGAAGCGATATGGACGACGTGCCAGACAGACCCCTGAGCGCCCGAGCCACCGTCTCGAACGTCGACTTGCCGCCGGTACAGCGTAACGTGTGCGGGAGATCGCATGCGCACGACACGTTCCGCACCTCCGGGCACTTCCATTCACCGCCCCCGCTGCCGTTCACCGGTCGCTGTACATCTTTATGCCGTTGCAGCAGATCTTCGTTCTGAGGCTCATGCAGCTGACCGCCGGTAATTCGGAGTACCGCGAGTACGACCGCCGTCGCCACCACACACAACATCTTTCCTGCACAAAATAAATGTCATCAAGTGTTATAATGAGTTGACAACCATTTTTTTTTTAACATGCATAATAATAATATGTTTTTGGGCTGACTACAATACAATGTTATTTTTTTCTAGCCTAATTGTCGTTACATGACCGATTTCGCATAGTAAATTATTTTGGTGCATATTGGTCGGCGGTTGCCTCCCAAAATATACGAATGTCCTCCCATACTTATTGTAAATAAAAAGGTTAGTATATAATATACACTAGTTGGCTCTGATGATCAGATAGTTCGTAATTATATATATGAGTTGGCTCCCAAAAATGTTTGCCTCCCTATCAATGTATAATACATTAATACTTATTAATCAATAAACACTCAGACACTCTATAATAATTAATATTTAATACATATTATAACAGTATTCTATGAACTAAAATAATACATATTTAATAAACAATATTTTATTATTCAGCACTGAAAGATGGGAGGTAATTCGAGTATGTAAACCATGTATATGAATATACCTTTAATATAATAAATAGTATAGAGAAATGTATAGAGAGAAATTATTAAGAATAAGTGAATATGTCTTTGAACCACTTCAAGTCTAAAATATTGACTATTATTCGGTAAACGGCCCATAGTTCCGTTACATTAGCACATGGTAACTTCTGACCATAAACGATTATCCGAAACAGAGCTTATATAGTATTAATTTATTGGTAATTACGAGGTATAGCGCTAACACATTCGCAAAGCGTATTAAGTACCTATATATTTGAATCTCTTTAGTCGCATACTTAATATGTGTATATAATTATTGATGTATTAAACTATGTATTATACACTTAAATACATAATAGAAAATCGTGTTTACATCAAACTGTATACGATTAGGGTTTATTATACGTTATTATGTATAAATATTTTATAATAACGTATTAGCGTAATAATACGTTAGGTATAAGTATACCTAATAAGTAAGTACCTATATCAGAATATACCTACTCGAACATACGAAACTTTACAAAGCATCTAAACCTATCACTATTCCAACATCTTCAGATAAGTAAAGTTACAAATATTTATGAATTGAATGATCAATGATTATCAAAGATAACTTTTCCTACTTTCTTTTTATTATCATCATATTATTCGTATATTTTTGTATAAAATTAATAGGTACCTAAGTATAATCATTTTTTTATAAACTTTATTAAAAATTCTGTCTTAAACAAGTAGGTTATATATACATTAATTAATATGTACATGCTACATTTTATGTTTGAGTTTGATAAGACTAGGATTTCTATGCACTTAGTATTTATTTCCGAACCTAGCTACGCGATGCCCGTGCCTCGTCTTATAACATAATATTATACCTTTCGAGTATTTTTTAATCAGAAGTTTTGCTTTGTGATTTTTAACAATTTTCATTTTTGAAAGCTAATTTTATTAGAGCATATAACACTAAAATGAGTGCATGTAGAAGACATGAAATTGTGAAATCCTGTAAAACTTTTTTTTAATTTGATAAAAATTATATTTTGTTTTAAGTATAAAAATTAAGAGCATATTATAGGAGTATTATTTTGAATGGGTATAAATGCATTTTTCTTAGGGCATTGCATTCCCAGCCTTTTATAGTTATTATTTAATTTCATACCTACACTTGTTGCAGAGCGTATAAAATATTAATTTTGTGTAAGTATATAATATTATGTATAGTTACCTATAGTACCTATATGTATTTTACATTTAGTAGGTATCACAGGTACCTATACCAATTTTCTGAAGTATTTGAGTAAATATATATTTAAATATTTTTATAGCATTAATTATTTCAAATACTTTTTAAATTAAGTATTTGGAAAGAATTTATTTTAAATACTGTCTTGGACGTATTTGTGTTTTAAAATAAAATGTTTTTATGTAAATAATTTTCAAAATTCAAAAGAGTTATTCATCACATTGTATTTTAATAATCAACATACGCAGCCATGGCCCACCCTGCGAACTGTATCATACTTGTTAAAAATTGCGACTTAGTTCATATACATAGTGGTATTGTCTTATTATATGGTATAATCATTGTGATTTTTGATTTTTTATATCAATAAACCTTAATAATAATTACCTAATTAAATATCTAGAAAAATGAAATTATTAAATTATTGATGGATGCTATTACCTGTAACGGAGGAGCTGGTCTATCTATTAGATGTTACGAGTATTTTATGATGTTCCCCGTTATATCTTTTAATCTTTTTTTTTATTTATTTAACATTTTATTTACAATCTATACAATACATAAATAGTACAATTAGTAAATTTGATACATGGTTATGACCAGGATGTTGCGCTTATGGGTAGGCACTTAGCTGTGCCACCAGACTAGGTATACTTTTTTGGTATTATACCTATTGTTTTATTTATTTTTATTTTTATTTTAGTAGGTCTCTAAAATCTACGCCACTGGCTTTTAAATCATCTAAGTACATTGCCCGTGCGGCTAATAGGTTACTGTGAAAGCTTAAGTTAGTATGGCATTTAAACTTTTAAGTAATATATTTTTTCTAATTGATTAAGGAAAGGAATTTTTGTGAAGATTATTATCTGTGAAATACAAAGGAAAAGATGTAACTAGTCGTAAGGAAATGGATTAAAACGCTTGACTGAATACCTTATGTCCAAACTGGTCGAATAATTGACTTGTATATTATGGTAAGCTTATTGGAAGTGAGAGTTTAGATTTCAAGAGTGTTCTTAGGAGTAGTCTTCAATCCCACTAATCACTATAGTTTAGTAAAAAAATATGTTTAGAAGGTGATAACTGATAACTGATGAGTAATGAATGACCGGTGAGTAAATGAAAGTAATTTTATAAAACCTAAATTAAATTTTATCAAGTATCATTGGCTCTAGCCACTTTGCCACAACGGGGTGAGAAAACCTATGATAATCATAATATTTACGTATTATTTATTTATAATTAAAATTAAATTATTAAACATTTATTTATTTTATATTTTATTAACAAGCTTATTGTTTAATTAATATTAAAATATTTCAAAATTAATTTTTTTTTTCAGTGTAAAATGAAGTTGGTAGTACAAAGTTATAATGATACTTAAATACTTAAATGTGACATTACAACTTTAAATTACCTAGTGATTATAACTACAAAATTGATTTTCTTATCCACTTGTACAACATGGCCCAACATTGCAGAATATATATTATATTATGTACATTATAATTTCTAATATATACCTACCGTGTGTCCGAGAAAACTGGGTACACTCTGTAATTCAGTTACTTACATTACTCAGTAGTCAGTACCCTATTCATATTTTAGAATTGTTTTCGGGAGATTGACAGAATTCAAAAATATGTATAGGATACTGAGTAATATCTAATATGGGTAATTTAAATATACAGTCTACCCTGTTTTCGGGGACACAAGGTATACACTATACACACGATGCAGGTTTCGAAAAAATATAGTCCGACGATAAGTTGCACAAATGGAGGGGGTCTTGTCTCTTGCAGATGGTCTTGGGGAGCTCTCCCCCCTCAATAGCTTAACAAGCACCCCCAATCAATACACGTGGGGTATACTATGTATTTATAATATGTTCCGCATGTTACGCATAGGATTCTCAAATACTTAAAATCGAGTTTTTTTAAAATTTAAATTAGAATTGTTTACATATAAGTATATATACTATATACATATAAGTATGTAATACTGTTTGCGCTTAATAATAGTAAACCAACTATGGACGTGTCACGTATGGATTAGGTATAATATCAGTCGGTACCGTCAGTATTTTTTTTCGAATTTCAATAATTTATATCGACAAATGCTTAAGCCCGATAACCTGTAGAGGCAAATACATATATGGATCGTAGAGTGTTTAAAAAATATAATGACTGTGCATTTTTCGACAGTAAAAAAAAAATTGAAATTAAAAAAAAAAACCCCTGAAGGACGGTAGTATAAACGATCGGCAGTGCTGATGTCAGTATCGGCTGAATTTGTAATAATAATATGAAGTATACCCTAATTACGTATTCACAGACATGAACTTGCAGCTAAGTTCGTCAGACGGCAGTATATATACCTGCGTGTGTACATACGAGAACGAGTCGTTATAACCATATTGGACGACTCTGTTCGACTGTCGGTATGTTTGTGTGTGTGTGTACATTATTATTTATGGTCGTGTACGACGTCTTCGAGTTACCTAGTTAGAAGAGAGACTCGTATACGCGTCTCTTGCAATAATTTTACACACACGCACTTGTTTGTTATATATTATATTATATACGTGTAAGTATATAAGTACCTACCTGTATATATTATAATTTCATCAGTGAACGTACAACGTTTACAATCAATGATCGTCCGTCTGATATAAATCTTCCTTTTCAATTTGCCCCAGAAAACTACTGAAGTCGGTAGGTTTATTAATAATAATATTATAATTTATACTTTATAAGTTATAACGTGGTAACGTAATTTTTCAACTAGAGCTATAATATACGAGCACGCAAAGTGCCTATATTAAAATAATAATATATGTTTTAATAATAATATTTGCGCAGATATGACCATATGAGTACGATAGGCATTATAAATTATAATACGTCGACATTCGACTATCGTCGGATGTTTGCCGACGATACGCTTTTTTAATTTTTTTTTTTTTTTTAATAAAAATGTTTTTAACGCCAATATAGGTACTGTCAAAAATAATTCACGAAAACGATGTGTATACCTTCATAATATAATGATAATTGATAACTATATCATTTTCGATCCGTCTGAAATTTTTTGAATGATGAAAAATATTCCCGTTATAAATGCGTAAATAATAAATATTCGTTTAATTTCTTCTGAACGGAAAAATTGTAAGTGTTTGATAGTTACCTACGTATTTTGTTTTAAATATAATCCAGAGCGGTGATACCAAAAACGAATTACTGAAAATTGTGCACAAATT